TAATTTTTCAGTGAATTTTTGTCTCTATCCTCTTTTGGTAGATTAACAGCCCTTAAACTAGAGATTATATAAAAAATCCATTTTAGCTGACATCTACCTAGAAATAATAGACTCTTCTGGGTTTTCATGTCTATTAGCAACTGATAGGCTTAAGGGAGAATATCCCCAAATCCACATACCACATCAACATCCCTATAAAAACTGAACAGCATACAAGTGCCAGAGGAATGCTTATTTCAGGTGGCATCCAATACTATAAAAGTATAAGCGAAGTTTTAAAAAGCTTCCTGGGAATTGCTTAGAGATTTGGCCTGTGCTTATAAACATAAATGTGGGAGACTGATGACCTGCTTTGATTCCCATCTCTACCAATTGCTCCTTTTATCTCCTCAACTTATTATTATTATGGGGCATCCATATGTAGCTAAAGGTCTCTGTTCATGGGACCTTCTACAGCATCAGTGATTCTCAAACTGCACAGTACCATTGGCCTATTTAAAAAGCACCTGGGTGATTGCTAACATGGTTTTCACCCCAGTTTTATGGAATCTCATCCACTGGGAACAGAGCCAGGGAATCTGCATTTATGACAAGTTCTCCAGATGGCCTCAGGACAGCCACTCCTGCCTGTACCCCACACTTCAAGCAGGTGCAGGGACCTGGAGCAGCCCAAGGACCTTCTTGTACCTCGCTGCTCCTGGTCTGTGGTGGGGCTTTGCCTCAAGCCCCTCACAGGTGTCTCAAAAGCATGCTTCCCTCAGCGTGGCATCTTTAGGGACTACGGTTTCCGCTTTACTTTCTAATTTGCTCAGGGCTGAGGGCTGGGGTGACCTTGATTATAGATTCACACCGTCTGACGACGGCCTGACTCCCTATCTCCCTAAAGAGTTTTGTAGAATAGAAGACACCTTTCCCTGGCTCTGTCCCTTCTAGCTCATCAGGCCAGCTTCAGGAAAGGAACGTATCCTTAAGGGTGGGGCCCTCTGGCCACTCGCCCAGTCGTGACTCAGCTTTGGCAGGCTGGCGCACAGGTCAGGGGCCCCGGGCTGTGCGGGACCGAAACAAAGCCGCGCTCGAACGCGCCCTCCCCGGGCCGCGCCGCACCTGCAGCGCCGCCTCGGCTCCCTCCCCTCCCGGGGGCGGCACTGGCTGTTGCCAGGCAGGCCCGGCCCGCGGCGGCTGCAGTTGGCTCCCGGCCTCCCGCCGCCCGTCGCCTCCGCGCCGCCTCCGCCCGGTGAGTCACCCCGCCCAGCAGCCGCCGCCGCCCTGCCGCTCTCACGCCTCTGCGCCTGCGCGCGCTGCACGCAGCGCCCTCTTGGCTCAGCACCCGGCCCTGGGCGCAGCAGGCACCCGGAGGTCGCCGGGATCCGCCTCCCTGGGTCCCAACCCGCGTGTTCTTTCTCCGCTGCCGGGGTCTCTCCAACTGCGCACCGGAGGGAAGAACACCCTGTCGCCGTCCTGTCACCGTGTCTCCCCAGCCTCCTGATGCGGGTCACATATCTCTGCGCTGACTGGGCTTCTGGTGCTACCACCCAGCACTGCCTTCAGTCTTCCCCTTTGTCCTGCGGGTGGGTCTCAGGGCTGCCCGTGAGGTTCACCCGGGGAGATGTAAAAATCCGATGCCAGGCTGCACCCACACCCCGCACTCAAAAGCACTGGTAGGGGACCCGGGCAGTTTGTGAAATTCCCCAGGTAATTTCCACTGTTCAGTCAGGGTGGTGACACCACCAGCCCTGGGCTTCTCAAATATTAGTAGGCTTTGCAATCCCCTGGGACATAGATAAAAAGCAGATTCCCCTTAGTTCAGCAGGGCCAAGGAGGGGCCTGTCAGTCTGCATTTCTGACAGGTTCTTCATGATTCCAAGGTTGCTGGCCTGAGAGTTACATTTGGAGCTGCAAGACACCCTCAGTGTCCCTTTGGCTTTCCTCTGGCAATGGAGAAGACTTGGGTTTGGGATCAGATGGACATGGGTTTGTATCCTACCTCTGCCACTTCCTATTTGGTGAAATTGGACTCTAGTCTGTGTGTGTGAATGGAGAAGGGAGAACAGTACTTAGCAGGGTGAGTGAGTGGTGAGGGTGATAATGAGCCTGGTGGCAGTGAGTGAAAGTCAACTGTATTGGGATGGTTTAATTCCCCTGTGGCCCCTTGGTGGAGTAGGCCAGGGAATGGCAGAAGCCAAGGAAGAAACCTTCCAGGTCTCCTCTCTGCTGTCTCTTACCAGATGGGGCTGAAGTCATATACAGCACTGTCTCTCTAGGGAGCCAGACAGGCATTGGATTTGGCGTGTTTGCCAGAGCTGAAGGGATAGAGGAGCAAGGAAGATCTGTGTCAGAGCCTGGAGCTGTCTAGAGGGATCCTGAGTTCCTGGGAGAGCAAGTCTCCTGAAGCAGTCTAGGGGCTTCAGGAAGGGTGCCCTGAGCCATGGTGAGAACCACCAGAGGCCAAAAAGTAGGGTCAGAATCCCAGGAGACAGAGATACAAGGAAGGGAGATGGAGCCTGTCTCATTTCTCCTGGGGGGAAAAAAAAGGTGTAGGCAGTATTCACTGGGCTTTCCTGAGGCTACCTGGGGCTGCATCTTACCCCCCTCCCCTCTGCTAGTTGTGTGACCTTGTCAAGGTGACTTAAACCCTCAAGGCTCCTTTCCTTCAAGTGTAAAATGGAGTCATTGTCATTGCTGACTCACAGAATTGTGTGCGGGACTGAAAGATAATTTGGTAAAACCTCAGATCAGTTGCTGTTGCACTGTGGGCACCCCGTGGGTGTTTGCTATTATTATTTCTTCCCATTGGACGAGTGAGCAGCCTGTGAGCAGCCTGAGGCTCCAAGAGTTTAAGGGACTCTGCAGGCTTGTGCTGTCCTTTCTCTGGATTCCCTTCAGCTCTGAACACCCTTTGTGACACTCTTTTTAGACTTGGTTAAGGGCTGTGATCAGCCGTCCTGATGGTGGACTCCAATTTTGATCTGGCTCTCCTGAGACTCCAGCTAGAATACATCTCATTTTGTGGCTCAGAGAAAGGACTGGAAGCCAGAGGCTCTGATTTAAAGCTTACCACCTCCCTCAGGACAGTTGGTAAGGCCACATTCTGTGAGACTCAGAATCTGCTTAATACACATGAATATGATTCCTTTTAAATCATAGCACTTCAATGTAGCTCTGGTGGACAGCTCAGTAGACAAAATGTTTTTAAAACATGCTTTCTTCCACACAGAGCCATGGTCATCAAGCCAGGGACCTGGATCTGAGATGTAGGGCACTAATCTTAAGGCCCAGGCACCTTCCCTACCACCTGGGTTCCCACCGAATGCTCAGGACACTGCAGGGTTGTAGTCATAGCTTGCTTCTCATGTCCTTCCCCACACCCTGCCTCCACAATCAGCTCTGTCCTTCTCCACCTCAAATTTCCATCACCAGGCAAAATGCCTGACACCTAATCTAACCAGTGCTCCCGAAGCACTCATTATCAATTCAAAAAGAATAACCCAGAGCTTCAGAACCTCCACACAGGCTCACTTCTCTGGACCTCAGTCTTCTCATAGATAAAATGGGGTTTGGACTAGATTCGATCTCTTAGGCTGCCTCTGACTCTAGCAATCCCTAAGTTTGAAATATTCTTCATTTTATCATAATCCACTTTAGTTTTTCATCCCAGGAACACATTCTCGTATTTGACCTTGAATTTTGTTTGCTTCTTACTCAAACAATGTGTGAATGAGCTTTATTAAATAGCTGCAGTCAGGCGTGGTGGCACATGCCTGTAATCTCAGCAGCTCAGGAGGCTGGGACAGGAGAATTGTGAGTTCAAAGCCAGCCTCAGCAAAAGCAAGGTGCTAAGCAACTCAGTGAGACCCTGTCTCAAAATACAATACAAAATAGGGCTGGGGATGCGGCTCAGTGGGCAAGTGCCCCTCAATTGTTCAATCCCTGGTACCAAAAAAGAGACTGCAAACACCCAGCTTATAATTTCTTTATTTTCTTACTAACTTTTTCTGCACCAGGCCATTAGTCTGGTTTTTGTTAGAAGCACATGGAACTGATAATTTTCAGTGGATGGGGTTCATTCTCCCTACATCCCTTACCTTGGCAACCTCTGCAACATCCTTGGGCACACTGCCTCTGTGTCCCTGGTGGAGTGGACAACCCCCACCCCCCTTCCCTTTGCACAGGACTCTGTCTTGGCAGAGAAAATGTGCAGACTGCTTGGGTCAAGGAAAGGTGTCCCTCATCCCCACTGAACCTGACTGATCACATCAGCCCATGAGCCCACAGGAATAGATGAGTGAAGCCAGCTCCCAGCCCCCTCAAATATCTTCCACATTTATTTGTTGGCTGAAAGAATCAGAACAATATCATTTCTAAGGGAATCTTTTTCCTTCCAGGGAAGCAGCCACAGTGGGATTTTCTGTAATACTAGCCAAATGCTTGGATATCTGCCACTAACAAGTCATTATATGATAGATTGTCTGCAAGGGTGGTCCCAACTCAATCTCCAAAAGTGAATCTGTTCCCTCTTCTTGAATCTAGGCTGGTCCTACGACCAGCTTCACATGATAGAATGAGACAAAGGGGTGCTATTCCAGTCTGGGCCTAGGCAGAGCCAGCAGCCTACCCCAAGGACTCAAGTGTGTGAGAGAGGCCCTGCTCCAGCCAGGGTGGCTGACCCACATGGATTTATCCTTACAGAGCACTGCTAAGCTCTGCTAAAGTTCTGGCCCACAGAATTGGGAGCAATAAAAACAGTTTGTGAGTTAAGCCACCACATTTTGGGTAATTTGCTTCATATCCATAAGTAACAAAAGCACCAGAGTCTCTGGACTCTAGTCTCTTCACCTACAAATGCTGGTTCTATCTTCCATCTTTGATATTGGGCCTCCATAACTCATGTCCATCTCTCTTTCCACAAATGTGTCTCTCAACATCTGGCTGCCAAACAAGCAGTTGAAATTACAGAAAGTGCCCCCAAACCCCAGAGGTTACTATCATTCATTCACCTGGAATTTGTCAAGGAAAACAGAAGAATGTATTATCTTGAAGCACTGGCTTGGGATTCGGTAGCACTGACTTTGAGTTTGATTTTGGACTAGTTTCTTTCTTCAGGGCTCCATCTCTTCATCTGTAAAATGGGATAATAATAATACCTACTTCAGTGTGAATGTGAGGGTTATATGAGGTGGTGGTGTCGGGATGTTGCTTAGCACAGTGCCTGCATGTGGAAGGAAATAAAGTGTAGCTTTCTCTTTAAGGGCTCCTATGCATTTTTTTTTTTTTTTTTTTTTTTTTGCTTTTACATCTGTCTACAGAGGGAGTAAAAATTACCAAAACATGATAACCTAGCCCTGCCCATCCAGTAAGAAAACAAAACACACATCTCCAGGGTCCTCACTGCATTGTGAATATCATCTCTGTAGATTTGGAAAAAAATGTAAATGATTTCTTTGGTATAAACAAAAAAAATGTGAAAAGCATAGGGAGGGACAGAAGGAAGGAGTTGGGTAATGATTTGCTTTGGTTTCTATATCTATCGTTCCTTACATTTATGATCCGAGGATGGTCAAATTAAAGGGGTTAAGTTAATTTAAAAATAAAAGTGGCTTTGTAGGAATCAAGCAGAAGAAAGCAGCATGTTGGTTAGCACTTTTTTCTCTTTTTTTAAAAAAAGAAAAACAACAGTGGAACAAGAGAAATCAAAACCTAACCTTCTACCATCTGCCGCAGATGATTTTCTAGCTCTCTATAAGGATCTCATTAGCATCTTCCAAGAGGCTGATTGTAGCCACCAGCACAACCGTGGTGCAGAAAAGGGGCACCCACACTCGACTGCCATGGGCACCTGCAGAGGGGCCTGCTGGGCTCCTGCCAGGCTCTCCCAATTCCCTCCTTCAAATGCAGTCCAACTAAACTCCATTGCAGCAAGGAGAGAGTGGCCCCTGTTAAAGGACCTGCACCAGCCAGGAAGGACTCTGAGGAGGGGAGATTGGCCTAGCCCGTCACCAAGCGCCTGAGAACACTTCAGGCCCACCTCAGCTGCTGGTTCTGGGTCTCCTGGGTCTGCCCTTTCTGGCCTAATCAAGAGCTGCATATTCTGGGCCTGCCAGATGTAAGGTGCAGGGAGAATATGCCCTTCCCTCTCCAGACTCCTCAAGGCACCCTCCCACCTCACCTGGCTTCCCAATAGAAAGCAAGGTCACACAGGATGGTTCTGAACAGGCTCTCACCTGCTTAGTGGCTGTGCAAGGAACATGGAGCTACTAGATGAAAATGTCCCAGGAGGAAAGGAGGTGGCAGCCAGGAAGGAATTCCCAAGGAAGCTTTAAGGAGCCATGGCTTTTCTCTCCCTCCCCTCGCTCTCTCTCTGTCTCTCTCAGTTCTTTTCTGAAGAAGCATGCGAGGCTGGAATCTGAGTGTGTGTACACACATGTGTACACATAGCAGCTTTCCTTATCTGTGCTTTCGTCTCTCAAGGTTTCAGATACCTGCAGTCAACCACAGCACAAAAAGTTTAAATGGAAAATTCAATATTTTGAGAGAGAGAGAGAGAGAGAGAGAGAGAGAGATCATATTAACACAATTTTATTATAGTGTATTGTTACAAGTGTCTTATTTGATTGCTAGTTATTATTGTTAATCTCTTACTGTGTCTCATTTTATTAATTAAGCTTTATCATTGGTATGTATGGATAGGGGAAAACAGTATTTATAGGGTTCAGTGCTATGTGCAGTTTCAGGCGTCCATGGAGACATTGAAACATATACCCTGAAATCAAAGGGGACCACTATGTACTCAGATACACACACAAACACACACATCTGTATACATATACACGTCCACATGAATGAAGTAGAGGCTACCCAGTGACAGTCTCTGTGGGAAGACTGGAGTCCCTGAGATTCTAGATGACTGCAGAATCTTAGGCATTTATGACTTAACTGGAGCCTATTACAGAGGCCACAATTAAATCTCAAGTCCAAATGGTACCTTTGATCTGGTCCAGTATGAAGTTAATTTAGTCTCCTTTAGGTTGGTCTCTCTCTCTAAGAAATATTCTAGCTCCTCAAGCTAAGTAGAAGCCATTTTGGTGTTCCCTTGTCCTCAAATACTCTGTCCATATGAGTTGGGGCTTCTTTTTTTTTTTGATAAAGAGTCGGGGCAAGGACTTTAGAAGCCACAAGAGCAGATGCGTGTGAAATAAACTAAAAATAGACCACAAAGTCTCTGTTGTTGGTTTGTTTAAATGCCATAGACCTTGGACTGGAACTTTAAACCTTCCAGGTTCATTATTCCTGAAACTCAATGACAGCCATGAATTACTTTCAGGACAGTTTCAGCTCAGGCTGTGGAGATGAGCACTTAACATTCTTACACATTCTAATGTGAATCAGCTAGTCTATGGCTATGAAGGCTCCCAATACAATGTAGCTGAAGCAAAGGCCAAGAACATATTGACCCATCATGGAATAGAGACCATAGGCATGGCCCAGACAGCAAGAGCCAGGGGCTCAGATGAAGCCACTGAATTCTCCGTCTCCTGGTTTTGCTCTCTCATGGCTGATGGGCAAAGGAAGCTAAGGATAGAGATAGTCCCTCATGTGTCTTTGCAGTTCACCAATCCCTGGGGGGAAAAGGTGGTTCTCCCAATACTTATATAAATCAAGGGGGGGGAAACTTGGTTGGTGCATCTTGGGTCCTCATCCATCCTTTGGGCAAGCAGGGGCTGGGTTCTGAAGCACACAGAGTGGGTCAGGGCAGTAATGTAAGGAAGGCAGAGGATGCTGTTACCAAAAGTAGGGGCCAAGGAGAACTGTGCTCCTCGAAGTCAGGGGTTTGCCCAGGCACATCAAATACATTCACTATTCACTAGATCTTTTCCCTTGCCTCCAGATTCAGCTTTTATGGCATACATGCTACCCGGAGGAATCCTGAGTCACGACTAAACAGCAAATGTCACCCAGAGCAGAGCAGATCCATTAGCAGGGCTCCTGGGTATAATTCCAGGGGAAGGGCCATTGCTTGCTTGGTTCTGTCCCTGGCTTGAGCCACAATGTCTTCTGCCTACAGCCCTGCTCTGGCCCAGACAGTGCCATAGTCCACCTTTGAGGGGATGGATCAAAAGCTTATCCACACTCAGTGTTGCCCTAACAGCAAGTATAAAGGGCTCCCATCTGGGCCAGACCTACCTCCTCTGACCCGACCTATGTCCTCATCACTCATCTAACAGTGCCATTCAGAGCTAGCTGACCCGGCTGTGCCAATGTGGAACTTCTTATCTCTTCTTACCTCTGAGGCCTGCATGCTCTTACCCTTTGGCTCACATAACATTAGCTAATACCATCTTGAGCCAAGCACTTGTCCTAAGCACTTCAATTATATTTTATACTCACACTGTCCTATGTGGTATGTGTCATTATTGTTATCCTCACACCAGACAAGGAAGCTGAGACACTAAGGGGGTAAGCAATTTGTTTGAAATTACATGGCTTCTCAGTGGTAGAGCTGACAAACCTCAGGCATTATAGTGAAGTGGATAAGTAAGGTGAACCCTGGAACAAGACCAGCTTCATCATGCAGTGGGAACTTGGACAACTTGCTTAGCTTCTCTGAGCCTCAGACTCCTCATCTAGAGGATGGAACTTCAAATTCTCATATTCCAAGACTGCTCTATCCCTTCCTTGGCCTACTTTTTCCTTTTAGATAATTCCAGCCAGTGATTCTCAAAGTTAGGTCTTCAAGTGGGCTCTCTCAAACTCTGGGCTCTCTGAGGCACTTGAAAATTCATTTGCACCACAAAGTTAGCAAAATGGACCTATTGATTTTCCTCCCCGACCCCAGTCATTCCAACCTCAGTGCATGGTACCACCCTCTCGACTACCCAGCTGCTAGGTTAAGCACCCAGAATTTGAATTGGATTCCTCCTATTGTTCATCACGATCAATCTTTCTTCAGTGTTCTGTTGGTTCAAACTGCAAAATATATCCTGAATGCAGAGCATCTTCACTGTTTCCATGGCCACAGCTGTCATCCCAGTTCCAGGTCTCTAGCCTGCATTACTACATGCCTTCTCACAGTCTCCCTACCTCCACCCTTGCTTCATCCCAGTCAATTTGATCATTTTTATCTCTCTGCTTAAAACCCTTCCGTGGTCTCACATTGCTCCAGGGATACTCCAAATTCCTTTTCACAGTTTAAATGGTCTGACCTTACATGGCCTCTGCTTACTCCTCCACATCCTCCCACCTGCTCTTTCCTGCTTGTTCTGTGACAGCACAATGTCCATCTTGTTCACTGCTAGGGCCCCAGAGCCTAGAGCAGTGCCTGACACATAGCAGAAGTAGGAGCTCAATGTATGCTTATTTGTTGAGTGAGTGAATGGATGACTGTGTGCCAGCCTCGGGGACCTTCTTTCTCTCTCCAAACCCACGATGCTCTCTGCTGTCCTAGTTATACCTGCTGTTCCCTTTGCTGTTGGCACTCTTCCCCAAGCACTGTGCACTGCCGATCCTCATCTATTTTTCAGTCTGTGTCCAATAATCAGTTCCTCAAGCAGAACTTTTCTGGGTGCAGTAGCAGAAAGAGCATATGGCCATTGTGCTCCATTATGTGACTGGTTTTTTTTGTTTTTTTTGGTACCAGGATTGAACCCAGGGGTGCTCAACCCCTGAGCCACATTGGCAGCCCTTTTCAATTTTTTAATTTTGAGATAGGGTCTTGCTAAGTTGCTTAGGGCTTCCCCTGATGACTTTCTGAGGCTGGCTTTGAACTTGCGATCCTCCTGCCTCAGTCTCCCAAACCACTGGGATTATAGGCGTTCACCACCATGCCCAGCAAAGTAACTGTGGTTCAGAGCATGGGTCAGCACCTAAAATTACCTTCTTTGTTCATTTGACTTGTCTTACTCATCACCTTCATAAGGATGGGTCAAGGGCAGGGACCTCATCTTATTCAATGCTACGTCCCACACCTAGAACAGTGGTTGGCACAGACTTGGTGCTCAACAGACCACTATGAGCTGACTGATCAACACTTAAGATTGCTAAGAGAATGAAACATAGATTAAAGCATATGTTAAAACCACCACTTTGGAAATTTGGCAGTTTCTAATAAATCTAAGCATATGGTGACAAGGAACAGCAATTTTCCTCCTGAATATACACACAAGAGAAATGACTGCTTATATCCAAAAGACTCCTTGTCCAAGAATGCATGCATCCTCATTCACAACTGCACGAACCTGGAACTAACCCAAATGTCCATCACTGAGGGAAGAGATAAACAAATTATAGTCTGTTCATACAATGAAATACTGCTCTGCAAAAAAGTTCTTTTTTTTTTTTTTTTTTTTTTGGTACCAGGGATTGAACCCAGGGATGTTTAACCATTGAGCCACATCCCCAGTCATTTTTATTTTTTTATTTAACTAAATAACCTCACTGAGTTGCTTGCACCTTGCCATTGCTGAGGCTGGCTTGGAAGTCACAATCCTCCTGCCTCAGCCTCCTTAGCCGCTGGGATTACAGGCATGCACCAGCACGCCTGGCAGAAAAGTTCCGATCAATACAACACGGGGTTAGCTTACAGACAATATGTTGATCCAAAGAAGCCACACGAGAAAAGGACACACTGTGTGGGTCTATTTATATTAAACTCCAGAACAGGGCAAATCCATCTGCTGACCCCTTTCCAGTGCTACTCAGAGTCAAGAGTGACGCACGCAGCTTTTTTTTTTTTTTTTTTTTTCTTGTTACACGGAAGTGAGAAAAACTGTAAGAAGGGGAGAAGATTTGCATTAAGGAATGGTGGGGGGGGCGGGGGGTCAGTGCGGATGCTGTGGGTGGAGAGAATGCCTGTGTCCTGGGTAATTTTGGAAAACTATGTGCAAGGCTGCCCCAGCCAGCAAAGGTTTGTGGAACAGCTGGAAAAACGGAAGTTTCAAAGAACACAGAGGAGAGTGCAGCAGCTTCATGCAAGAATCAGACCTCAAAATATAATGTACGTGCGTCTGTGACCCATCAGCCAGAGAGGGGAGGTGGTGGTGCCAGGGAGGGAAAGGGGGAACAGGGAGAGGGGTAACAAATCTGCTCTTGTGCTGTGGACCCTTATCCTCAGGGTGGTATGGGCCAGATGAGTTCCTCTATCTAGCAGGAGGCAAAGCCCCTCTGGGATCTCTTTTTACTTCATCTGAAACAAAACAGGAAGAGGCCTGGAAGGTATAGACTAAATAACCCAAAGATCAAGATTCCTTAACAACCAAAGACCCCAGAGGCAGCACACCAAATGGCATGGCCCTTCCTACATCTCTCCCCAGCAGCAGCCCTGGAGTATGTCCCTGTCACTCATCTGTCTATTGCTGCAATGGCTTTAGTTAATCAGGAAACAGAGATCAAATGAATGGCTCCCTGCATAATCAAAATTCTGTGAAACTGGAAGTCAGCCAAATCTAGAAACTTTGCAAGGATAGGACCATAGAAGTAGACCACAGAGAAGATGTTCCCTCAGGCTGCAGACCTGTGCCCAAGGGGCTATTTAAGGGTGCTGTTGACTGGGTTGATTCTGCACGGTATTTACAGTGGCCTGTCTCATTAAATGAACTTGCTTTAAACTAATGAAAACATTTCCCATTATCTGGAAAGTTGGGAATGTGTTTTATTATTTTCAACTATGTCTAGTTTTTAAAAGAGAATTTGGTAAGTGCTTTTGAGCACAAGTGGGTAAGTACCATTGAGGATTCCATGTGGTGATTCTAATCTTGCTTTGGTTAAAATACATGCATTCTCTCAAGCACTACTCCAACCTGATAACCAAGGATTCTTATGTGCAGCAGAGAAAGTTTAAGAAAAAGGAAACTTGGATGTCAGTTTGCATAGAAATGCAGAGCTTGCTCACTCATACCTAAAGTTGAGAATGTCGTTGATTATCCTGGAGTGAAATTGGGAGAAATCAAGAGGGTACCTTAGGAGATCAGTTATCTGTGAGTGTGACAAGGACTCCATGAATAAACTTCAGAAGATAAAAAGCCTGCAATTCCATCTTGGGGAAGGGATCACTGAGCCACTTGCAGTGGTTAAAGGACTAGAAGAAAAGACACTATGGAGCCCAAATCTTAGTAGTTATAGAAAAATGGCTGAAGCAAATTATGTTGACAAGAAGTTACATCAACCAAGATGAAGTTTAACTAGCCTCACGTTGCTTAGGTAGTATGAATGCATTTTTTCCCATTCAGCCTTCTTAGAATTGCCAGTCTCCATTTGAAGTGCTTCTGGTCAGTTATCAGTCAAAGCTCTTGGCCACAGGGGTGGGTTTGTTTGAGCTTCCAGCAACAGTGATAGGAATAAAAAGGATATATACAGACTGGACAGGGTAGAGCTATTGGTAAACAGATGGTAGGAGAAAGCAGCTCTTTTTTTTTTTTCTGTTGAGATTCTTGTAGTAGGAAGGTAGACATCTGAGGCTGTGGAAGGAGGAACTTTCTATAGGAAGGAAGCAGGGAGAAGCAGAGTAGCAGAGTGAGAGAACATGAAGGGAGACCTTACTTTTGTGAATATTGGAATCTCCTGGGGAGCCTGAGAAAATACTGGTACCCGGGTGCCAGCCCAGAAGTTTTAACAGGTCTTTCCTGCTGCACATCCTGGGTTTTGCTCGGGATGATTCTTACGTGCAGCAGAGGATCTGGACCCTTTGTCTACAACACCAGATCATGGCCAATCCTCAAGGCCTTGATTCCAACAGCAGTTCCTGGTTCTGTAACCCATCTCGTTGTCTCCAGCTGCCGACAACATCCCTTTTCTGTTGTTCGTATAGTTTGTGTTGGATTTCTATTTGTGTCCAAAAGATACCTAACTAACACACAAAGATCCTTCATCACCAGCACCAACATCCATTACACAGCCCTGATTGAAGGGCTGTACTTCTGTGGGCTCATTTAATGTAATCCTCACGACATTCTTGGAGTTTGAAAGCCATTTTTGTCCCTGTTTTACAGATGAAGAAATGAGACATCAACCAATGAAGTGACTTGCCAAAATGAACACAGCCAATAAAATCAAAGCTGGAATGATCCCCAGAGATGGTCCTTACCCACCTCAGCTTACCATCTCCCAAGAAGGACCAAAAAGGAGGCAGTGTCTCTGTAGGAGTCCAGAAAGGGGATCTCTGAACAGCCTTTGCAGGAAGGAGTTGGGGGCTGCAATATGGGAAAGGCACTGCACCATTCCTTTGCACAATTATTTAACACATGGAAAGTCCAGGATTGGCTGATCCAAGGACTCATCTGAAGCCATCAGGTACCAGCTTCCTCACCTTTCTTCTCCACATAGTGGCCTCATCTGTAACTGGCTCCCCCAAGCAGACATGACAGAGGCAGTCCCCAGATGTCATATCTTCATAGAACAGCATAGAGGAAGGGACTGTCTATTCACCTGTGTCTCTTTATCAGTTAGAACAGCTGGTGCCGAAGGTCTGCCATAAAATTTCCCTCACACTGCATCACAGGAAAGGGGAATGGGAGTTTTACAGATGAGGAAATGAGACACCAAACAATGGAGAGGGGATCTCTTGGTTCCATGGGGCACCGTGGAAATGCGGAAGGGGGCATTTTTGGTTGTCACAATAACACAGGGAGGGTGATAATCATGCAGTGGGCAGAGGCTGGAACAAGACAACTTGCAATGCACAGATAGTCCCACTTTGTCACCTGCATGATATTTGAATGTCCTTTTGACCATTTTCACAGATGAAAAAAAAAAAAACTGTTCAAAATTATCTAAGTAAAACCGAACTCTCGTTCATGTCTAAACCCAAAGCATCTTTACAGTGTACTGTATTTTCCAGGAAAGCTCCTGTTGTGTACCTCAAGAAAAGATCATGTTCTGTTTGGTTTAGAATTTTTCTAAGAGTTGTTCACCAGTTTGGAAAAAATCACATTAGCAATGTCAACACCACTCAAAGAATTCAAGTCTCCAAAGCAGCAAGTTGTTTGGGCCTGCATTAGCACCTGCCAAGGTCACAGTGATTCTGGGTATGGATCTAGCACCTGTGACTACTAGCACCTCTTCCTACTCTGTGGTCCTTTCTCACTTCTTCCTTCCCAAACAAATGCTGGTTTTGTTTAAGGCCAGCCTGAGCAACATGAGACCCTATCTCATTTAACAAAAAAGAAAGAAAGAAATTATGTGTGCAAGTGAATTATATTACCTATACATCTCATTTGTAGTAGTAAAAGGAAAGTTTTATATATATATAAATTTCTTCTAAGGTAGCCCTGCTCAATATTGCACTTAATATATTCTATTTTATTTTAAATTATTTTCTTTTTATTCTACTCCATAATACAGTTATTGAATGTTTTGAAATTATATGGCTGGCAATGGTAGTGTGCCCCTATAGTTCCAGCACTCAGGGTGCTGAGGCGGGACAATCACTTAAGTCCAGGAGTTTAAGGCCAGCCTGGGCAACATGAGACCCTGTTTCATTTAATAAAAAAGAAAGAAAGAAATTATGCATGCAAGTGAATTATATTACCTATACATTTCATTTGTAGTAGTAAAAGGAAAGTTACCAAAATATATATGTATTATATATATATATATATAAAGAGGAGACTGGGGTGGTAGCATATGCTACTTGAAATTCTGAGACAGAAAGATCACTTGAATCCAGTAATTCAAAAACAGACTAAACAATATAGCAAGACCTGCCTCACATAAATATGTAGAAATAGAAAATAAATAAGCTAGCAAAAACAGGGAGTTGAGTCTGACAGGGGTGAGAGTCATGGTTTTGACCAGTGAAGATTCACTTCCTGGGGCCGAGAATGGGACTCACCTCCCTGAAGCCTGCACCTAGGTGGAGGAGTTTGGGTACCAGGACAAAATCAGCATTTGTTTGGGAAGGAAGACGTGAGAGAGGACAACAGAGTCTAAGAGCATTGTCTGATCCAAACAATGCCATCCAGGAAAGGAAGAGAGGCCCTGGAGCCAGAAGTAGCAAGCAGCTCTCTAGGAAGAGAGAAGAAGATATTATTGAGGAGGATGCATATCCTTAGCCACCAAAGCCTGGATGGAATCCATTGACCAAAGCCCCCTTCCTTCCTTTGCCTCCTATTGCACCAGGCAGTCTCCTGATTACTCTTCTGGCCTTCAGTTGTGGCTCTCAAGCCTGGCCACCAGGGTTCTGGTCCCTGCAAAGAAGAATCTTCTGTTGCAAGCAGGCACCCTCGTATTCTGATGAATGCAGCATTCCTTGTGAATTTGGTTAAGTCCACCCAGAGTTTCAGAACTGAGCTCCTGACAAAGTGGGGTTCTGGAAGTTGAGACATTGAGGGGAAAGAAAGACCACCTGTAGGTGTTGCTGTCCTGTGAGGCCCTGTCTGGGTAATCAATGGCTTCCCTGGATGGCAGGGTGTCCAAACCTCCTGGCCAAGCAGCCTCTGAGCTAATGACATGCCATAATACAGACACAGGCTTGAAAAGCTGACTAAAGGGATGCTGCTCTACCAGGGAGGCTGGCAACGGGAGGCCTGGGACAGCTACTGTGTTGTCCCGTAAGCCATTCTCAATGATGGAGGCTTTGTTGAATGTTTCCAGGCCCTGACAGCTTTTGTCCTCTCTCTGAGTCACAGTATGCAATCTTAGGGCCTCAGTTATCATCAGTTCCTTTTTGATGGTGGGAGAGAGAGCCACCGCACAGAAGCTTCTCCTGAGGCCTGGTCCCCTGAACCTACCCCTGGTGCCCTGGGGTTGAGCCAGCTCTGTTCTCTGCAGAGGCAGGAAGCCATGAGCAGGATTCTCTGTAGGCTCCTCCTTCATCACTCTTCTTTTGCATCTTAAATGTGTACAGGAGCAAAATTCCTAGGTTAGGCCTCTGTTGAATGGGCAGTTGGGAGAAAAGGTCCCAAAGGCCTCTACTGCTGTGGCCAAAACAAACACCAAAATATTCAACACATACAAAACTTTCACTTAAAACCAAGGCACTGGCAGCCTGGACCACCAGTTTTCCTTTATTATGACAAAAGGGAAGGAACAGTTTTCTCTCTAGTCCTGATGGGTATATGGTGCAGCTTTGCACCAGGCCTCTTAAGCTATGGTACCATCAGTGGCTTTCCTAGACCCCAAAGCCCAGGACCCCAAATGCAGAATTGCCTGGCAGTCACAGAGTCCAGAGGTGCTACAGTCCTGGGAGCACCAACATAGCTTCTGGCGTGATGGCCATTGTGAGGGTACATCTAAGAGCTGTGGCTCAGGATTGCTCTGCAGACCAGGGAGGTGGCTTCCCTTGATGCAATGATGGCTATTCATTCTGCAAATGTTTATTGTTAAGTATCTATATGCCCAGCTGTTCTGGGTGCTTGAGGAGAGTGCCTGGGCACGATCACAGTGGAAAACCCTGCCCTGGTGTGGAGCAGAATGGCCTCAGAAAGTCCATTCTATAAATATGACAGTGTTTTCTTTATACTTCTCTGTATACAAATGGGCTTACGTTGCCTTTCAAATTAGGGAAAAGCAATTCAAGTAGGTTATCAGAAATTGTTTTTGAACACATACTCATGAAGGAAATAAAATTGTGAAAAGGAAACAACAGGTAGTCCCATATCTGCAGGAGAGTGCACTTTGGACTCTGAGGGGACTATAGTGGGTGTGGGCAGAAAATCAACACCAGATGAGTCTAGGTGAATTGATTCTGAACTCTTATTGTCCAAGAAATCCTAGAAGAGGAACCTTTGTATCACTCAGTCTTGTAATGTTCTGTTCATTCATTTAATTATTTGCTCAGGAAATGGTTTCTGTAGTAGATTCAGGGAATTACAGAGATAAGCAAGTCACCGTCCTGCCCTCCAGGGTCCACACTCCTTTGAGGAGTCAATATGTTTAACAGCTGCAAACAATGAAGGGTGCAAGTGCCAGTGCAGAATTAAGGTGTGAAAGGGAGGATGGTGGGTGCAGTTTCTGTGTCCATTTGATCCCTATTTTATCTTGGCCTGTAACACAGAGCCTGTTACATGGGGGCTCTCACTACCTCCTGAACAAACAGTGTTTGGGCAAAGCTCTATGGATATGGTTACCTGGTGAGATGGAGGGTGATGTCTTTGGCTCTTGCCTCTGTTTCAGCTGCCCTTTTCCTTACTTAGAAATATCAAAAATGGGCTGGGGCTGGGGCTCAGTGGTAGAGCACTTGCCTAGCATGTGTGAGGCCCTGGGTTCAAGCCTCAGAACCACATGTAAATAAATAAAAATAAAGGTCCATCAACAACAAAAAAAAAAAAAAAAAAAAAAAAAAAAACCATGACGCTCTGGGCACCTGCTCTTTAAAAAAAAAAAGGAATACCAATAATGTTGAGATGCTCTTTGCCCCAGTGATCACCATATATCCTTTGTGTTTTGATCCACCCCCTCCAGTAGCTTTTTATTTCATTCTTCTCTCATTTCATCTCACCCTGCTTTCTCATAATTTTCTGCTCCTACTTCATAAACGCCATGTTTCTCTTATGTGCTAACAAAGATGCAAAACAGTTTTCTAGAACTCTCTTCTGGTTCCTGAAGTATATCATCTTCAGAAATACACTCTTCCTCTAGGCTTCCAGATGACATTCCCTTACTTCTCATCTGTGGGATTCCAGAACTTTAGAACTAGAATCTATGATTTTCTTATGTTTATTCACTTATTGATTCACCCAACGAATATTTATTGAATATAAATCATGTATCTGGCTCCATAGTAAGCACTGATAGTAAAAACCCAGCCCCTATCTGCATAAAGCTTGCAGTCTAAAGGGTATTGCAGGATCCCGAGAGTTATAATACTTTATAATTAAAGCTTCACGACTGAATAGAAGGAGCTTCTTGTCTACCCTTCTTGAGCCAAGAAGCAGACATCATGGAAGGAAACACTGGACTGATAGGTTAGGGCTCAGTGTTGAAGGTTCTTTTTTTTTAATTTTTTTTTTTTTTAGTTGTTGATGGACCTCTGTTTTATTCATTCATTTATATGCGGTGCTGAGAATCGAACCCAGTGCCTCACGCATGTGAGGCAAGCGCTCTACCACTGAACCACAATCCCAGCCCCAGTATTGAAGGTTCTTTAATGATGTTCTAATAAGTTTAGACTTTGATGGGAGATGGGACATTGAGGAATTTAGTGCAAGGAAGCTAGTGCCCTGTTTAAAGCTGTGATTAGGAAGTTACTCCAGTAGTCATATAAGGGGTGGATTGAAGGGGAAGACGAAGGACAAAGAGGTGATCCCAGCAAATCAGTGGAGATACAGGGAGAACTGAGGTTAATAGTAAGAGCATTGGAAACAGAGGCAGAAAACAACATGTGGAAAGATCTGACAGCCAAGTGCCTGTGGGTGGCAAGAAGCAGGGACACTGGAGATGACACCGAGTTCAAGGCTGGACTTATGGAGAGGAATAGCATACACTGCTCACTCCTTCATGCTTACTTTTATTCAGAGTGTTAACCCCAGTCCTAGGCTGTAATACATGGAGTGTTAAATGGTTCTACAAAGAAGAACTCCAAAAAAACCACTTGACAAAGACAGCGAGGCTCAATCAACAGTAATTATGCTAAATCATCACTTGATTCTGTGTGTCAGGGTGCAATGGATATAGCTGGTGCTTTTCATCATCAAAATACCCCCCCCTTCCAACCAAGCAATTCACTTTTTCTTAAAGGGTAGGCATTGGTTGTAATTTTCCATATGGAGCCCATAGGGCAGAAATACAGGAGACTTTGCCCAAACCCCAAAAGGTAACAACTGTCAGGACAAAAAAAATGATATTCTAGAAATCCAATCACTCAGTCTCAAATATTCAAAACTGTCACTGATTTGAAGGGAAAGGGTAAGATCAAGCTTAGCTCCAGATGACTTTAGACTTTTCAAGATCTGTTTCTTCTCTTCAGTATATGGATTCCCAGTAAAATTCCACTCTGAGTTACCAGTCCCTGTGGGTATGATAGAAGTCACAGATTAGTTCTGATTAATTTCCATCATGAGAGAGAGTCAACTTTTGCTTTTCAGGGAGAGAGTAGAGAAAGAATGACAGGGATAATTAAAATCCACAGATAGCACAAACACCCAATTTAACTGGCAGTTTCAAATCCTCCTCCACTGATTTTTTTTTTTTAAGAGGTGCCAAGTAACAGGGCTCAGCCCACCTTTTTTTGGGTCTGAATCTAGCAAAATGTGAAGGCAATTTTCTTTCCTCAGAAGGCAAGCAGGTGGGAACAAGGAGAAGAACAAGGAGAAGTCAGGATTGGCAGCCTTTCTGAGTTGGAAAGTTGGCCCCTCTTGCCCACTCTCTGTCGGTTTCATTTTCAGGAATCACACCAGCACCGTGAGCTTACATTGCTGGCTGCCGGGCAAAATTTTTCAAAAGGCCAGTTTACTCTTGGTTCAGCATTGAGGAGCAGCCCCTGTTAGAGAATGCTACTTTGCACTGCTTTGCAGTGACTGCAGGCAGAGCAGAGTGACAGAGGACAAGCTGACTTCCACGGACACAGGGCTCCTCGTTGGCCTCAAACTTCAACTCTGCTAGTCAGAGCTACTCAGACCCAATCCAACTTGCAACTGCTACCATTTTAGATGCCCCAGACCTTTAACCCTCCCAGCGCTTCCCAGTGGCCTTCATAGATGGCCTCCAGTTTGTCTACCATTCAAAGCTACACATCACCTAACTTAAATCATTCTTATCCATTCTCCATTTCTTTCTTTTGCTGAAAATAAAGCTACTTTTCAATATCCAGCTCTGTTTTTCCCATCTCAAAATGATCATTCCCTCCTATGATGATTATTTATATTGAATCTCTATGCTTTCTATTCTATCACAGTAGCTAACATCCCCTAAGACTTTAATGTTCTCCAAAATGTGGGCCATGACCCATTAGTGAGCTTTGGAATCACTTTAGTGGGTTATGACCTGAATTTTTTAAAAAATGAAATAGAATAGAGTGCATTACATGTAAACATATTTCTTACTTTTGTTTATGGTCAAAAATGTGAAAAAGTCACTGCTTCATGTAATAATGATGTTTTCTGCTTTTATGGAACAGAGAGCCTTGATCTGACCAGCTTAAATAATACAGAATTTATTATCTCATATATAATGAGATGTCTGGAGGCAGGGCAGCTCTAGGTTTCGTTTAGCAACTTATCAACATCAGGGACCTGGGTTTTCGCCATATCTGTAATTTTTCAGCTAATTTTTTCTGAGGTTTGCAAACCAGATGCATGAGTTCCTTGCATCATACCAATATTCAGGAGCAGAAAAAAAGGGAACTTTTTTTTTTTTCATTTTCTTTTTACCTGCAAAGAATTTTTATCGGAACCTTCCCAACTCCCCAGATCTCTTTCCTTTGCTCTTTGAAATAAAATGAATGATATGCCTAGCCAGGAATAGCAAGAAAAACCAAATTTACTCTAGTTGAAGACCAGAGTACCTTCTCATGTGACCACATTTGGTTTTACCCGGTCAGGAAAAAAGAGAGAGAGTGATGGGTGGGGGGTAGGTCAGCCAAAGTGCTTGCCAGCTGCACACGAGGTACATCCCAGTAGGGACAGGGTCCTTTTCTCTTTATGTTCCCTGCAATGCTGGCCACATAGCAAGTCTAGACAGTCACTTCAAATTTCAACTGATAAATTAAATCAATCACTTTACCTCAAAGTATAAATATTCATGGGATGCAGAGATCAAATATCCAATTTGAGATACTGGAGGCATCCTGCAGACATCGCTCATGATTTGTTGAGACCTAACTCACCAGAGACCAGGATATTTTTTTCCAGTCTTCATTTCTCTATCAAATTATTAACCTGGCATTACCACTGAAATAATAAAATACATATTCATCACAATGCAGATGGCAATTGATGGCTCCACAGATGGAACGGTGGCTCTCGAGATGGCAAGCGTGGAGTGGTGGGGGTGGAGAGACGGCCGCGTCAGAGGAGGAGAGACATTACGTCATTCCAGATTTGGGATTTCTTTGGGAACCCTGGCAGGATTACTGCTGAATCATTCTGCCAGGCAAATCACTGGCATGTTAGTCTGACAAAGGTCCCTGAATTCAACTCTTGTTCTGCTCCTTGCCTGGTCATCTTTCTGCTTATTTTGCCATTTAAGGCTAGACTCAAAAACACGATCACATGAAATAATCATGTCTGTCAGAGGCAGTGACCCAGGGTCTGAAAATCTTGTGTGTACATATGTGTGCGCGCACACACATCCTTTATCAGAGGAAGCACAGAGGACTTTGAACTGCAGTAAAGCTTTCATCTCTGAGATAGTTAGGATCTTTCTATTTGTTCCTGTTACAAATGCAAGGTCCTCCCATGGGCCCAGCAGATAAAGCTGGACTTGAGGGTGCCGTGCATTTCCTTGAGTGGCAGCTTCTCACTCTGGAGACACACAACAAACCTCTTCTCATCTGCCAGACCACAGGTGCACCTGGAGGATGGGAAGGTAGCAGACTTGGATTTGACTCTGGTTTTCTTGGGCAGCTAACCTGTTGCCTAGTTGGCCTAGAGGCTGCCTTGGGTCCGTGGGCTTCAGGCCAGTCCTAGCTCTGCCAGAGCCTGCTCCAAGTTCCACCTTCAGTTGCACTGGCCTCATTTTAAGAAGGTCCTTAGCAAACCAGATGGTGTGCTTGCTAGCACAGCCAGCATGGAGGTGTCCAGAAACACAAAGAGCCCACCAGCAGCAATTCACTTGAGTGCTCCCTGTCAATCTTATAAGGCATTTACCTCTACTTTCAAAAGAGTCTAGACCAGAAAAACGGAGGCAGGTGCTCGGGAACATTTTATTTTTTTTATTTTTTTATTTTTTACTTTTAGATAGATACAGCACATTTATTTTATTTATTTTTATGTGGTGTTGAGGATCAAATGCAGTGTCTCACATGTATAAGGAGAGCACTCTATCACGGAGCCACAAGCCCAGCCCTCAGAAACATTCTTGAATGGATTATTGAACAGATGGCTTGGGATAACTCAGGGAAGGAAGTGGTAATTGCAGAGAGCCTGCGTGGCCTTACCTTCATTTCCTTTTTGCAGCATAACCCCCTGATCGAAAACAAAAGCTAATATATCTTAAGTGCTTTCGATGCAGTCGGCACTATGCTAAGTGCCTCAATGCATTTAGGTCCCACAACAAACTGTGAGTTCGGTGTCTGGAATATCATGGGAACTCAACTCGAATATCTGAATCAAGGAATGAGTGCCTGCCTGCCTGCATGAACGAATGTAGTTAATTAGTGGGTTGTGCATATGAGTGTGTCTTGTGCCAGATTCCAAGTGTTCAGCCCCTCAGGTCTGCTCAAGTGGCACTCACTCTTCCACCTATCAAGCATTTAATAAATTATCAGCAAATGCCAGGCACTGAGAGAGGCGCTGGACAATTGAACAAGTGAGACACAGTCTCTGCCTTTGAAAATCTCCGCTAGGAGAGGTAGGGGTGGTTTAGCAGGGAAGCACTAATTAAAGTCTAATGTTGGCATGTTGAATAACCCAGAGTTAAGTATAAAATAACATGCCAGCAAGAAGAGACTACTCACTGGCCCTGCAAACCAGAAAGACAGCAGGTACCCAGGGCTCTGCTAACCTGGCAGAGGCTGGCCCTCACACACTCCATGGCCCTTGCTCTGTGGGGCTGCCATGGGGCTCCTTACATTTGGGAAGATGTTGGCTTCTTTCTCCCATAATATATACTTCACTTTTTAAGGCAGAGGCTCTGAAGAAAATTCTCTGGCCAAGCACAGTGGCACAATCCTGTAATCTCAGAGGTTTGGGAGGCTGAGGCAGGAAGGTCTCAAGTTCAAAGACAGCCTCTACAACTCAGTGAGGCACTAAGCAACTTAGCAAGACTCTGTGAAAAATATGAAAAATGAATAAAATATAAAGGCTAGGGATGGGGCTCAGAGGTTAAGCCCCTTCCCAACGCTGAATTAAATCCAAAGTACCAAAAAAAAAAAAAAAGAAAAAAAAGTAAGTTTTCTGAACCATCTGGCATAGCCAGGGAAGAATGACTTGCAAGCCCCACCTTTTACTGACTCTCCTGGGTCTATTTCCATCACCTAGAATTTTGCCATGGAGAAAGAAGAGGAGAAACTGATGGAATTGGAAAGACCAGATATGATCTGAACCCAAAGAGGTGGGCAATCTGTAATCGACAGAGAACAGATGTGTTGTGGAGCCAGTGCTGCTGCTGCTGCTGAGGCGCACCCACTCACCAGCTCCTGGCACATGGCTGTGCTAACCAGGCCTGACACAGTTGGGGAGGAGGGGGAGGGGAGAGGCTGAGCGCTTCCTTTTCTGAAAGCTTTCTCCAGGCTTCTCCCTTGGAAGGTGGTATCTGTGGGGTGAGGCCCACCACACTCCAGCAGGGCTTGTGAGAATGGACCCAATTCCATGATTCTGAGGCTAAAGGTCTCTGCAGACCCCCACCAAGGCTGTGTCTGGGACAGCAGACCCTGCTGGGTCTCTTTAGGATCTGGGCAAGTCCATACTCCCTCCCTCCACCTCCGGGAGGCATCCATGAACTGATTGTATCACAGCTTCAAAATTCCCTGACTCATGCCGTCCTCAGATTGTAGAGATGTGGTGTAGGCTGACGGCTCCTCCCCCTCCCACCTATTCGACTATTTAATGACAGTATGTGTGTGTGTGTGTATGTGTGTGTGTGTGTGTGTGTGTGTGGCCAGGAAGGAAGGGGCTGGGCAGGGAGAGAGGGGCTCCTGAAACCAAAAGGAGAGGCCCTTACTGAAAACTTGCCATGATCTCATTTTGAAAGCCATGTATGACTGGTCCTTAACCCTGAGTATGGGCAGGTCATACATAGGGAAGACTTTGAGGTCATCCAGGCCAGCTAAGGAAATGGGACTGAGCTGGGAGGAGAGACACCTTCTATCCCCCATCACAGTCTGATCTGTTCTCCTACACTTCTAAGTAGCCAGGCTGTCATGTGATTTGCTAGTAACCATGGCAACAAACCCTGTTTCATGAAATGTATGGTGAGAAATCCCACAGAAAGATCACAGCGCAGGGCATGGTACTTTGCCCAAGGGCTGCTGACCTCCCACTCAGGCTGTCGTCCAGGACCATGGAGGCAATTGTTGCCGCTGTTACTGGTGGTGAAATGGCAGTGATTTGCTTTCTTCTGAGCTGGAGCCATTGGCTATTTTTTTTTCTCCTCCTGATACTTGTCTCCCTATTTTGGAACACAGTCTCTGAAGATGAAAGACAAAAATAGCTCTCTCGAAAGGAGCTGATGCTTGTGTGCATTTTGTGCTCAGAGATGGGCTTCTTATTGTAAAACATCCACCCCTAGCAACTCAAATCTGGAGGCCAGTGCTGCTCTCCCTGACCACAAGAGAAAGCACTCAAGAAAGCCAGCAGGGTTAGCACACTGCTGTCTGCCATGAGAAGCTGCAGAGAGTCAGGCACAGTATTGCCTGCCTGTAATCCCAGGGGCTGGGGGGTTGGCGGGTGCTGAGTTCAAAGCCAGCCTCAGCAACTTATCAAGGCCCTGAGCAACTCAGCAAGACCCTGTCTCTAAATAAAATATTAAAAAGGGCTGGGAATGTGGCTTAGTGGTAAAGTGCCCCTGGGTCCAATCCTTGGTACCAAAAACAAAAATAACATTGCAGAGAAGTCGGTTGCAGGAGGGAAGACAGACACACCAACCCCCCTGATCGCAGATGTAGCTAGAGGAAGTGGCTCAGATATTCTTTGTTAGAAATGAAGGACGTAATTAAAATTTGGTGAAACTCAAATTGTTAAGTGATCCAGTACCCAGCATGCAAGTGACTGCCACAGAGCAACGTCCGGGCGCGCACTGGGGTCAACCGGCCCAGTACAGACAAGCAAGGCAGGTGCTGCCTTTTTAGTGGGATGCCATTACTGACTCCGCCCTATGCTGCATTTTCTGCCCTTGAATCAGTCACTTAGTCTCTCCCAGTAATCACTGAATCTCTTCAAGTGATAGTTTCTTCACCTTTAAAATAGAGTAACATTTGTGTAGCGTTTCTGACTGGGCTTTGGCAACAATCATATCTGATAATGTAGAAAAAGCACTTCAAAACTATAAATTGTTACAAGATATCATTATCCTTCTTAGTTGTGAAATATCCTCCTAAAGGATTCAAGGAGTTAGGATGAGTAAATCAAGAAGTTGGGGCTGGGGTTACAGCTCAGCAGTAGAGTGCTTGCCTTGCACATGTGAGGCACTGAGTTCGATGTTCAGCACCACATAAAAATAAATACAATAAATAAAGATATTGTGTCCATCTTTAAGAAAAAAAAAAGTTATGTCAGGCCAGGCATGGTAGCTCATGCCTGTACTCCCAGAAGCTCAGGAGGCTGAGGCAAGAGGATCACGAGTTCAAAACCAGCCTCAGCACTTTTGTGAGGCCCTAAGTAACTCAGTGAGATCCTGTCTCTAAATAAAATGTAAAGAAGGGCTGGGGGTGTGGCCTAGTGGTAGAGCACTTGCCTAGTAAATGTGAGGCACTGGGTTCGATCCTCAGCACTCCATAAAAATAAATAAATAAAAGGTATTGTGTCCATCTACAAATATATATATTTTAGAAAAAGAAAAAGTTATGTCAATGCAGAACTGCAGAAGCCACCACAGTACTCTTTGAGCTAACAGGTGAAGAGTGAGAAACAAATGTCATATTTCATTGAATCCTAACAACATCCTCATTGGTATTATAATTTCCATTTTGCAGATGAAGCCTAAGTTCATCTAGCCAGTGACAGAATTGGGATCTAGTCCTGTCCAGTCTGATTTCCAAGTCTAGGCTCCTAACCCATGGCTGGGACATTGTTTTGTGCCATTTGAAATAGGCTCTGTGCTGTCAGAAGAAAGTTGCCAGGTAGTTTCCCAGGAGCTAATAGAGCAGCATAGTGTGTGTGTGTGTGTGTGTGTGTGTGTGTGTGTGTGTTTATAAAGAGTGGCTGTTTTTCTGCTTTACTTTGAGGTCACTCATTTATCCTGTGCTGACATGACCACCTACTAGAGTCCTCATGGAAAACTAGCTCATCCCGGATTGCTGTGTCTGGCCTGGTTTCAAGGGTGACAATAAAAGAACAGTTAGTGAGCAACCAAAGCCAGAGAAATGGAGTCATTTGACACTGTTGTGGAAGCCAAAGAGCAAAGCCATGGGGCAAAACCTAGGCCCCCTGGATTGTACCAACTCGCACTCTCTGGTCTGGCTGTACACATCCTTTTGATGCTTCCAAAGTTACTCTCTACTCATCCATCTGGACCCCATCAGTAG